ATGCTGGAGGCAGTGGCTGGCCCAAAGAGGGATGGTTAAAGTAAGGCAGAGCTTGAGCGAAGGTATGTTGTGTCTTGAAGGCAAAACATGTCGAAGCTCTGGGCCAAAGCTCTGTGTGGCAGGGCTGCAGCTGAAGGAGAAGGTTGGGTTCTTTTTCTTTTTTTTTTTTTTTTTTCCCCCAAAAATATCCCTTTTTCTGTGGGGTTTCGGGGTTGCAGCTGAAGGAGAAGTTGGTTTTTTTTTTTTTTTTTTTTTTCCCCACAAATCATCCTTTTTCTGGTGGGGTTTAGCCCGCCTCGTTTTGTTTGTACAAAGGACCTGTGACCTGTCGTGTTTATCTCCTCAGGCCACGGCAAAGGCAGCGCCAGTACCTCTGCAGCACGTGGCTGACGGCGCCCAAGGATACCTGGCCGCGCTACAGCAAAACAGGTGAGGCTTTCAGTGCCACCTCCTGAATCACCACGCTAGTCCCGTGCCCCTGTTGGCATGGGTGGCTGCTCCTGCCAGCCTGGCTTTCCAGGAGCCTCCGTGCACGGAAACCGGTGCTGCTTTCATCAGCTGCCAGGCCCAGACTTCACGCTGGCTGATGCAGAAAGGGAACAGCTTGTCAGCTGATGGAAGTACCTCCTTTCTCAACGGGGAGAACTCTGTTGTGTTGTATCTTAGCACTTGAGGGGGTTTTACCCCCTGTTACTGGAGGTAGAAGATGATGTCCCCCTCCCGTCTTAGAGCAGTCTTGTTGGATAATGGGAAATCCATGGGGAGAGCAAGCTGGTTTAGAATCATGGCATCATAGAATCATTTATGGGCCTTTTTTAACCCAAGATTAGAGAGTCCAGCGTAAACGTAACGCTGTCAACTCCACCACTAAACGATGTCCCTAAATGCCACGTTGACACACCAGGGATGGTGACCTGATGGGTTTCTCAGGTGGGTTTTTGACTTGGATTCATGGGAGGAGGGAGAGGAGTGAAATTTTCTGAGAGTCTCTGAAAGCACGTCTGGCTTTGGCTGTGAGCGAGCTCTCCACGTGATAAGAAAGCGGAAGAGCTGCTCCTGCTGCTCGTGCCCACGGGCTGACAGCGGTGGTACCCACATCTTCTGTCCACCCTCTAGGTATCTCCATGCAGCTGCTGGACACCAGGAGAGGAGTGCAGTCCTTCACGTTTGAGCACCATCGTGACTACCAGCAAGTGCAGTTCAAGTTCTTGGAGGCTGTAGAGTCCATGGACCCCAACAATATTGTGGTATGTTCAGAAATTGGATTGCCTGTGCTTTTGTCTCGATCCCTTTCTCTGGCAGGGCTGGTGGGCTGATGCATCCCAGTGCTTATTTTTCACCAGTGTTATTCTGAGCGGTAAGAGCCCCGCGCCTTCTGTGTGGGACGAGGCAGCGTTGCTTGCTGAGCTCTGCTTTCACCTTGATTGTAAGATAAGCGACTGCCATGGTGTAGACGAGGTCCAGTCGCTGGTGGCTGAGCCTCGGAGGTGCTGCCGAGAGCGTGCCAGGCAGCCATCTGGAAAAGGAACCCGCAGGAGCTGACCGTTTGGCTGGAAGGGTAGGAATAAAGCTGCCTTGTCTCAGCTCTTCAGCTGGAAAAGGAAAAATGTTGTATAAACGGATCTCTAAATGGGAATCTAAACTAACAGCTGTTCTATTTATAAACGCCTGCATGGATGAAAAATGTGTCTTTTCTTGGTATCTCAGCAAAACAGTCTTTGTGTTGAGCGAGCTTCATGTGTGTCCAAGCTCATTAAATTGTATGGTAACATTTATAGTTTGCAGCGATAAGCAACAGTAAAATTGCTCTGCATCCGACTGAGCCGTCATTGAGATATTTTTGCTCTGAAAACCCTGGCCACATGAGCTCGGATACACGCCCTGGAGAGGTTTCTTAAAGAGGCCATTGTCTACCAAATAAAGTTTACTTCCTTCTGCTTTCCCACCCTCTGCTCATGGCCACTGCTCTCTCCAGCTCACCACTTCTGCCTGCTGACTGGGCTGAGGGACTCGTGTCGAAGGGTGCGAGGTAATTCCTGTGCAGCAGTGATCTGCCCGAGGGCCAGCGGCCTAGGGACGACTCAGGTGGGACAGGTTGTCCGTGCTATGTTTTAGTGTTCAGGCTCTGCCCTGTTAAGTGGGTCTGGCTACATTCAAAGATATTCCTGTAGCTTTAGTCTGTCAGTTTTATGCTCAGGGTAAAATCTGACAGACAGGGGCTTTCCTGTGCCAGAACTACTTCAAACCTCCAACTAATTTAATCGTGGCAGCCACAGTTTCACGTAGCTGGAGCGCAGATCTGCCCCGCTGCTGGGGTTTCAGCATGCAAAACATGATTTTTTTGGGAGTCCTGCTCAGTGAGTGGTTTTCTGCTCTTGCCAGTGGGTTACAAGGGTTTGCTGGTGAAGTCTGAAGTGCACTTTTTCCCATCATGGTGATCCTGAGTGCTCCAGGTTGTCCAAAAAGGAGGACTAGAGAAGAATTTAAGAGCAAACAAGGAAGGGATAAAATGTCAGGCAAGTGGCACCAAGGCAGAGGCGCTGGGCTTGGACAGACTGGAACATAACGGCTCTGTACTGTAGGTGGTCACGCTGGCCACCACCCCCCAGATGTACTTCTGGAGCTTTTGAAGCCGTATTTCTCAGTTTGGGGGGTGAAAAAAAAAATCCCAAAGCTAAACTGTGAGGAGATTTGAAACAGCTTCAGTGATTTCGTACTGCAACTGAGTTTTAGGTACTTGGAAAAAGTAGTCTGTCATACAGTTAGTGAATGCGGAGGTTTTTGGGGTGTGGTTAAACTGCTGTTCTGAGGCCTGGAAAAAAATACTTTTAATCCATTACCATTTAGGAGCTGGATCCTGGAATTGTAATAGATGTGTCAAAATGTCCTCTCGGTACCCAGAGGGAGCAAAAGCTTGATGAAGTGCTCAGAGTTGTTGTTAAGGGATAGAGAACAAACCCAAAAATGTAATGATGCCTGCTGCCTGCATCTTGAATGTCGTGTGCGGTGCTGGGCCCTCGCCCTCAAAGGAGACAGTGGAGCTGGGAGAGACACCGATGATCAAAGGCCCAGCACGGCCTCTGCGCTGGACGTGTTGGGTCAGCTGGGAGGGAGGTGCCTGAGGGAAGCTGCTGTCGAGGCTCAGATCCTGTGTGGGGTGGGGAGGGATCCCGCTGTCCCATCTGACACAGAGAGGGCGCTGGCAGGTTGGGATTAAAGGGAGTTCTTCACATTGTGTGCTTAAGTGGTGGCTCTGTGTATCGCAGAGCTGAGGGGCTGGAAAAGTACCTGGGTCAGTGAGTGAACAAATTAACGGGAGGAGACACCGTTAATATAAATGGCATCTGTGTCAGTGGGGATCCCTGAATCCCAGCAGCTCAGAGTGTGCTGGGAGCCATCGTGTTTGCCCAGCTTCGCGCCCTCTTGGCCAGGAACCTGCTTGTGGAGACGGGGCATGATGGTCCTCTGCTCTGACCCAGCCTGTCCTTAGGTTCTGTGAATCCATGGTTTTAGCCTTCCACGTGAGGTGAGTCCCCAGCTGTGCGCTGTGAGCTGAGCATTGGCTCTCCGATGGCGTGGGACAGGGTTTTGCCGCCTTCAGACCTGGGGGCAAGAGCAGCCCCTCTCCTGGGCGTGGTGTCAGGGTGTTTGCCTGCCTGCCACGCTTACAGAGCTTGCAGAGTGAGTGAGAACCCCCTGCTTTCTGCCGTCGTGTAATCAAGCTCGTGCTCTTCTGTAGCTGCTGCTCGAGGTGTACCCGTACCACGTGGACTGCCTTCTGCAGCTCAGCGACGTGTGCCGGATGCAGGAGGATCAGGAGATGGCCCGTGACCTTGTAGGTAAGAGCCGAAGGGAGGAGCAGATGTCCTGGTGTGAATTAGCAGCTTTTGGTTCAGTTTGGGGTTTGTTTCAGCAGGGAAGCAGCAAACCGGAGGGGTTAGTTTGACTCCGTGGCTGGGAGCGCTCAGCCTCGGGTGATCCTGCAGGCCGGCAGCTTTGGCTGGAGGCTTTCAGACAGAGCCTGATGTGCCTGTCTGGGGCAAACCACGCCAGTGTCCACCTTCAAACTGAACAGAAGGGTCGTCTGGACATTGGGGGGGAAGGTGTCTCATCTGTAGGACGTCCCGTGCAGGAGGAGGGTCTGATTGGTACCTGCCAGGTCCTGCAGTGCGAGGGGCTGCTCCGGGAAGCCTGTGCCCTCCTCGCGGGGGCAGGAGGTGTCCTGGAGGATGACTGCCCCTCAGACTGCTGCACCATGTCTGAGGTGTGCTGTTTGGGATCCAGGGCATGTCCTCTCCAGCATGATAGGAAGGGGCAGAGGCGAAGCAAGGACAGGATCCTTGGCTTCGCCATGTGAGCTGTATCAGCTCCAATCCCAGACATCTGGAAAAGTTCCTTTTCACGGCGTGATCTTATGTCTGCAACAAGGAACGGGGCTTGCTTGCCTGAGCATCTGCTGTGCCCACGTACTCTGGCGTAGCTTTGTGCCTCGCTGGGTTGTGAACAAGCTCGTTTCACGGGGCCCAGAGCGCTAAATTACAGGGTCTTAATCGTTTTGTGAGCGGTGGGGCCGCGTAGCAGGCCGGGGCGGTGGCGTGCCCTGACGCCGTCCTTGTGTTTTGCAGAGCGGGCGCTGTACAGCCTGGAGTGCACCTTCCACCCCATCTTCAGCCTCACCAGCGGAACGTGCCGGCTGGACTACCGGCGGCTGGAGAACAGGTAGGCGGCATCTCTCTGCCCCCCCCCACGTCTGCCAGAGAGCCGTCGCCGCGTGCCCTGCCCTACTTTGGACGCGGAGCCCCAGATTCTCAACGTCTGCCGCGTCATCCGCACTGGCAGGGGGACCTTGAACGTCCCTTTCTGTCGGAACAGGCTCTGGTGCCTGGCAGTCGGTGGCAGTGCCCCTCAGCAAGGCAGCAGCGGGGCTCCTGGGTGGGTGCTGGGGTACCAGCAGCTCTTCCACTGAGGTTTCTTTGCACAGCATCCTCTTCCCTGAGGGATTTCTTACTGGAGCAATAACTGCTTCTCCCTGTCGCATCCTTCTTGCGCAGTTAGTACCTCTTGGCCCAAAACGGTGCTTAGTTTTGTCACAAAAATGCTCACTGTGTGTTCTTGGTAGCTTGTGTGCTGCCTGACCAGCGTTCGTCCCCAGCACTTGCACTGCTCCCAGCCTGTCTCTTTATGTAACGACAGCTCTGCAGCTGCTGGGAAAGGTGACTTTTCTGGGAATTTTCCAGTCAGCTGACCCAAGTCATCCCTCCCAAACTGCTGTACCTGGAGAGTGCTCAGATTTCCAGTACCTGCTCGCTGACTGGCTTGGTGCCCTCTGTGATCTGAAAGCTGTCTGTGTCTTGCCCAGTTTGGGTGTTGATCCTCCCCTTGTGCATGTCCTGCACGCCCTTTGTCACCATCCCTGTGCGGCTGGGCGGGCTGGGACGAGGCAGGGTGCACATTTTGGGGATTGCCCCAAGCTGTCAGCCAGTCTGTGAGAGCACGAGGCTGCAGGGCCCTGGTGGGCAGGAGCAGAGCAGGCCATGGCTTCGCTGCCCCTCTGCTTGCCCAAAGAAATTCTTAAAAACCCCAGAGATGGGTTTAGGGAGGGTCTATGACATCCTGTACTGCACAGGCCAAGTTCCCCAGACCCCCTGGCTGCACTGCAGTGCTGATGCTGGGGGAGCAAGGAGCTGGGGCTGACATGGGTCCCCATTCTTCAGGGGCACGAGGTACTTCTCTCCAAATCTGCTGTCTAAAACCTGTTGCTGTTCCCCACGCAGGGCTTTCTTCCTGGCTCTCTTCAAACACCTGATGTTCCTGGAGAAGAGAGGCTGTCCCCGGACAGCTCTGGAGTTCTGCAAGCTGATTTTGAGGTAGGTGCTCCTGCCAAGGGTTGCACTGTGTTCCCTTCAGGATGGGCAGGGTGTCAGGCTTGGGGGAACACACTCAAACCGAGCCTAACCCTGGCAGGACAAAAGAAACCGGAGGTGTAGCTGCTGCAGGGCTCAGTGAGGGCTTGTTTCCGCTCCTTGCAGATGCAGTGTGGCAGGGAAGTGTTGAGCACAGGCTCTTAGCTGTGGTGATGCTCTGGGGAGGGGCGGCTGTCAAGGAGGCTCGAACAGATGGGACCTGGGTGGCCCTTGCTCTTGACAGCTGAGCTGTGGGCCTGGCTGGTGGCTGTAGCAGGGCTCAGGGGGTGTGTGGAGCAGATGTGCAGCACTGTGTTCAGCCTGCTTGTTTTGTGGCCACTGATCCTCCTCCCGGGTGGTGATGGGAGGACTCTCGCCCCTCTTCAGGGCGTTGCACTGTCATCCTGGCCACCGTTCCCGTTATCTCCACTTGCTGAGTCACCGAAGCCCTCTGGATGCTAGTGGGAAAGTCTCATTTGACTTAGAAATGAGGACAGCTACTTCAGCTTTTGTGACTCTGATTTTGTTTCCTCCGCTTTGCCTCGCTCTGAAGCCTTGATCCGGAGAACGACCCTCTGTGTATGCTGCTGCTGATTGATTTTCTGTCCCTACGAGCCAAAGAATACACCTTCCTGACACGCATGTTCCAGGAGTGGGAGGTGAGTTGCCGACAGACTGCCCTGGCCAGAGAGGAGGGAGCTGGTTCCTGGGGCTCTGCCGGGAGCAGGCAGCTGGGACACAGAGCATGAGGTTTTCCTAACAGCTTAGCCCTCTGAGGGCTGTCTCAGGGCCAGGCTGGCATCCCAAGATCATTGGTACGGCCCATAATGGCTGTGGTGGTTGTTCTTGTCATCCTGGTACCCTGCAAACAATTGTCCCAGTTCAAAATCGCTTACTCAGTTGTGGGGGCACCAAGCCAGCGCCTGGAATGTAGCTGCAACCCAGCAAGCCAGAAACCCCACCCTGTGTGCAGCCCTGCTGCATCGAGACGGTTCTGCATAGCATCACTTCTCGGTAATTCTGTCTCTCTGATCCTGCAGAGTCACCGGAATTTGTCCCAGCTCCCCAATTTTGCCTTCTCCGTGCCGCTGGCTTATTTCTTCCTGAGCCAGCAGGAGGAGCGCCCGGAGCTGGAGCTAAGCCAAGCCCGGGAGAGAGCCGCCCGGCTCATCCAGCTGGCGTTGATCATGTTCCCAAGCGGTAAGTCAGTCCCCACCGGTAAGTCCGTCCCCGCAGGCCTTGTCACTGTCCTCGTCTGTGAGAGCGAAGGCCGGGCTCCACAGCCAAACGCCGAGGCGAGCGCTTTGCCTGCGGCTTGCAAATGGCCTTCGCCCCTGTCTGCGGGAGATGGGAGCCCTGACTCGGAGGCTGAGGCAGCTCAGGCAGACCGGCCGTGGCAGGTACGAGTC